CATCACCGATACCTTCGGTAACCCGAGAAGGATTATATGCGATCGAGGAGCAGCTTTCACATCGGGGCTGTTCACAAGATTCTGTGAGGATGAGAACATCGAGCTTCATAAGATTGCCACTGGCGTTCCCCGAGGCAATGGGCAAGTGGAACGAGTTCATAGGATCATTATTCCGATGATCGCCAAGATGTCCGTCGATAGACCTGAAGAGTGGTTCAAGCAAGTTACTGCCGTTCAGAAATGCTTGAATAGTAGTTGGCAGAGAGCGATTGAAATGACACCCTTCCAATTATTGACCGGCGTAAAGATGCGCACCAAAGAGGACCAAATTCTTCATGAACTACTGCAGAAGGAGTTACAAAGTACCTTCGAGGAGGAAAGGAGTGAGCTGAGGAAGATTGCACAGGAGGGTATCCAGAAGATGCAAGAGGAAAATCGTAAACATTACAATCTACGCAGGAAGCCGGCTGAGAAGTATCAAGTTGGAGATCTAGTGGCGATACCGAAAACCCAATTTGGTATTGGTCAGAAGGTGAAGCCAAAGTTCTTTGGACCGTACGAGATCGCCGCTGTACTCCCCAACGATCGTTACGAAGTACGGAAGATAGACGACGAGACCGAAGGACCGAAGAAGACATCATCTGCTGGCGACTGTATCAAGCCGTGGGCACTTCCGGGTCGGAAGTAGTGTCAGGAGAGGCCGTGTGGGAAGATCGAGTAGCCCCTCGGTGTAACTTGCGAAAAATTCAGTTCTCACCCAACCGTTACACAAAGTGTCTCGCGTGTGCGCGTTGTATTAATTAATTTGATAATAAAGTTACTTTTTCCGATATTCTCTCAACTCTAAACCCTTCCGTCTTACATGTAATATGGGTCTATTGTCCCCAAATTGGGTCTATTTATGGATGCAACTTCGTCCTATCTTGTTTGATCCTCAAAAAAACGCTCTTGGTAACGTTTTCTGATGTATATTTTTTTATCACTATCACTGTTAACTTAATGCTCTTCATTCCTCAAAACATTTCACAGAGAAAATTTTACGAAAACTACATTAAATCACTCAAATTAAAAATTAAAAATTAAAAATTTCGCTTATCGTCTTTCGACCGCAGAATAGCGAAATCAAAACATTGTGATGTTCATTATACAGGTTTGGCAGAAAAAATCTTCCTTCCTGTTCGTTCCTTATCATCCAAATGCAAACCACATTGTTGACGTTACTCTTATTGCTATATGCTGTCAAATGAATTTCATGGGCCATAGTTAGGAACATAGAAAAGAAATGTGTCCCTAAAGTTGGGTCCATGATTTACTTGTGAAAACGTTGTTAAACAATTAAAAGAAACATAAAATATTCAAACAGCAACTGTAAGTTTTACGTCTAGTGTGTATTATCAGGTAATTCCATTCAATAAATGCCATAATCAGGCCATTTGATGATCGTCAGTCAACCTTCCCATCTTAACCTTATAAGTCATGGCGGCTAAAAACTCCGAACAGAGTGATATTCTCAACCAGTTTTATTACTTACGAGAGCTGAAAATGTATTGAAATGTTGTGATATAAATTGATTTGTGTGTGGTACACATTTATGAACCATCAGTGATCAATATTTTCCTTATTTTTTGTGTAATATTCCTTAATTAATTATTTATTTGCGTGATAGGCCGAATGAAAGGACTAGACCCACATTACATACCGTAACCCTAATAGCAAAATACAGGTACAATATTACATCAATGGATGTAATTTTGTTCGCAAAATCGATGTACATCGTACAATGTGATATTACACAATCGATGGATTGACCTGGTTGCAGCAGTTTCGATGTAATATTCAATAACTTTTTTTGCTGTGTAATGTAACGTTTGGTTCTGTTGTCATTGGATGTATTCTGATGTCAAATTTTACATCGTCAATACGTTTGATTCTGATGTAACGTTTGAGGCTAATGTATTTTTATGTACTTGGACGTCACACTGAAGTCTGAATACATTAAGGGTACAGCAATACACGTTAAAATTAAATGTATTGAAGATTTCTGCTGATGTTTCCTACATTACAATTTCTATTCGGGATGTCAGAAGGGTCTAACTCGAAACGTAAACAATGACTTCTAGGGGCATCCCACTCTAAACTATAGCTCTAGTATCAATTAAGTATTTCCAAGTATCTGATAAGTATTCTGAAGTATTTTAAGTATTTTAAGTTTTTTATTTTTTTTAATCGTAGTAACCGGTTTCTAATGTTGTTATTTGTTGTTGTATTTTCCGTCAATGTATTACTTCAATCTGTTAAATTAAATGAAGTAGTGTAATCATGTTTAAGAGTAAGTTCTTTAATTCTACTTATGAAATAGATCATCAAAACACAATTTTCTTTCAGCGAACCAGTTGGAGCAGGGACTGCTGTTGGATCGAGAATTTATCCGATCAGAATTATTTGATTTCGACCTGGCTGATATCAAACTTTTAAATTATATTGCTTAACTGGAGGTTAATGATGCCGTTGTCGTCCAGACTCGCAACCAGATTCCAAACTGACCTTCCTAACCTACCAGACTGAACTGCCATAATAAAAGTGTATGTTGGACGGAATTTCGGCTAAGAATTACCGCAAGCTGCATGAGTATGGAATTATTGACTAGGATACTAGGAATACGCTCGTTATTTGTCAGAGGGCAATAGAAACACAATGAAGCATAACTGCTTTGCATTTGAAATGATTGCAATTGCCACTGGTGGCCGTATCGTGTCGCGTTTTGAGGGTGAGGGAGTTGAATGAGTATCCTGATAGTAGCCGAAAGATTTATGTGAAATCAACTTGATTTTCAACTTTTAGGCATTGAAACCAGTAAGAATAAGAAGGAAGATATTAATCTGTTCTGTAATAATAATTAATTTCAAACCATTGATATACCCAATACAACGATGTACTTCAAAAACGTAGCTTATTTTTTCTCATTTCGTGTAAAATAATCTTAAAATAAAATAAATGAATTTATTTCGAGGTTAACACAGCGATTCGGAGGTTAACACAAAGCGGATATGTTGGTTCATCATGTTCAGGCTTAATAATAACCCGCATAAACAATAACCATAAGATGCGCCTAACCACTAATTCGATATATCATCCCAATTTTATGTGGTATGGTCACACCATCTAAGATATCGTCAGTATATGGTACCCGTTTATTAGGGAAGCCTTAACTAGGAGAGCATCGAAGGTTCCAATTCCCAGGAAATGTGATTCACTTCTACAATAAACTCATTCGGCGGAAATCTAGGAGATGTGGTTTGCCATAAGAACGGATGGTGCGGAAAGCTTTCACAACTTCGTATTCAGCTTCAATCAGCGTAAATTCCTGAAATTATCGTCCCACGGTCAAGATCCTAATGGAGGGAAAATCCATCCACATGTCATTCAAAGGAAGAATAAGGAGCTATTTGGAAAGTTATTGGGCCTTATCACGGGTGTCACTACACGGTGATAAGGAAGTGATACTCATAATAAGAGCCGTGATTGCCGTACAAATCAAATGGGAATCACTTCACCGTGACGACAAGTGACAAGTTTTCACCGTGAAGTGACATCCGTAATAAACCCCTATTATAAAAAAGTGCATTTGAAAGCAAATCCTCGAAACAAATTTGTCTATCCAAAAACCATCTATCGATAAGGTTTTTGGATAGACAAATTTGTTTCGAGGATTTGCTTTCAAATTCACTTTCTTTTACAATAACTTTTCAAATAGCTCCTTATTCTTCCTTTGAATGTTTGGCAATGTAGTATTCCTTGAATCAAAACGGTCTCCTCTTCGATTCCTACACAAATGGAATAAATTTAAAAATAAAAGTTGCATTTTTAAATACGCACACACAAAATCCCAGATGACACCGGGTAAATAAACAACGAAATCTGTCTATAGCAACGGTGGTAACAAACTAGAGCTAAATATTTCTTAAGTATTTTTAAGTATTTTCAGGTATCTTAGATATCAGTAAGAACTTTCTGAGTATAATGCGAGAAATACAAAGTTTAGAGTGGGATGCTAGGTGGGATGCCCCTAGACTTGAATCGTCGGTTTCTTACGAATGGCTACATACCCACTCAAACTAACTAAATCATCTGACAGAGAAATGTTTTTTTTCTTCTATGAGCTAGTGTAATCAAATTCCGTGGGTGTGTGGTCATGCAAGAAATCGACGTTCAAAGTCATTGTTTACGTTTCGAGTTATACCCTGCCGGCGCCGGTGGTGTAGTGGTAAGCGTGACTGCTTATTTCTAACACCCCAATGGGTCTGGGTTCAATCCCAGCCGAGGTCGGTGGGATTTTTCTGAGGCATAAAAATCTCTGGTTACGTCTTCCTTCGGAAGGGAAGTAAAGCCGTTGGTCCCGGCCCATGTGCGTTGAATGGGTGCGATATCCTACGCAGGTGTGGAAGCTGCCTTTCTGCACATTCGATTGCCGTCAATGGATGGCAATCGATGTCCGTCGGTGATTGGCACTAGATTGCGGAACAGAGACCGACGTTAAATAAAGGAAATAAGAAGAAGAAGAAGAGTTATACCCTTTTGAAATGTTTCCCCTGAACTCGTAACCAAGACGAATAATATTATGCTATATATTTATTGTAGGAATTATCGTTGCTCATTTTTTATCAATACGTTATAATTTTAATGAATAAAACCAGAAAAATATCAAAAGTCTAGTTGAAACAAGAAAACACCTAGGAAATATAGTAAATACCATGCCATAGTAAAACATTACAGAACATAGTAAATACAACAATTATTTCATAGTAGAATCAACCAAAGCCAAACAAAAACTTTTTTAAATTTCTGGCTAGTAATGCATGGTAATTTTTATCGAAATGCGATAAACATAAAAGGAATTGTCGTAATTTAAACAGTTTTATTAAAAGTGGGAAATAAACATAGTTTTTCTTGTACAAATTAATATACAATTAAGGCCAGCGATGAAGTTTGTATGTCATAGCCACATTTTTTAAACACTACGTACATCCAACTAATCCTGACAGTTTCAAGCATAACTCTTGCCATGGGTGAGTCTCATTAGCAAATCCAGCGCCCACTTGGGTTGATCCTTCGGCACCATATGGCCGGCGTTGCGCACCAGCACCTCCACCAAATGGCCGGCTTCCTTGGCGTACCCCGCAATCTCACCGTCCACCTTCCATATGTAGCGTGGCGCTTTCTTGTACTGCTCCCGCTCCGGGAAGTTCAACTTCTGCACATAGTTCATAGTCAACGGGTAGGCCACAATGATATCCAACTGACCGTTATAGATGACCACGCGGTAGGTATTCAACAGTTCTTCCAAATACGGAACCACCGAGTTCATCACGTCCAGCTTCAGATGTTCCTCGACTTTGTTTTCCGTATCCAGTTCGTGGAAGGTGTTATTTCCGACATGGATCGCCTTTCGCGTTTCCGGCAGCTCTAGAAACTTGACCATGTAGTCATCCTTTGGATCCGGTTTTGTTTGCAGATAGTTGAAGTATGTCTCGAAACCGGATACATTCTTGAAGAGTGATCCACTATGATACATGTCTCCGTTGATCAGGGCATCGAACGCATCAAACGCGCAGTTCATGTCCCCTTTGGTTATACAGTCTCGGCCTTTCTTTTCATACTCGTGGAATTCATCGCGAGCATTAGAATCGATTAATCCCAGCTGGTAAAGGTAGTCACCGTAGACAAGCTGATGGAATGGATCACACAATCCATTGCCGATGGCCAGCCCTTTAAGGTTAATCTTGACCTTGGCGTTGTCGTTATGGCGGTGAATGGCATGCGACACAGCTGGAACATACTTTCCGCCGTACGATTCACCGGTTACGAAGAACTTACGATTCTGAAGTTCTGGGAATAGCTGGAAGAACTGCACCAGTGCGTTGTGGAGGTTGTTTCCCACATGGGTCTCATTGGTGCTGTAGCCTTCGTCATGATCGGTAAAGCTGAACCCCGTACCAACCGGGTTATCGAAGTAGATCAGATGATGATTCAGATGCCATGAGTACTTCCTTGGATGCAGATTCAGTTTCGAATCGACGGAGAATGGGCCATTTTCGGTGAAAAGTCCATACATCGACGACGCACCGGGACCTCCCTGCAGCCAGATGACTACCGGTGCGTCCTTTTGGGCATCGTTTTGAGCCGCAAAGTACCAGAAGAAGAGATTTGAGTTGAGCTTCTCGTCTACGGTCAGATAACCCGAGTAGCTTTCGATGTTCGCTGGGATGGCAGTGCTGTCTACTTTCGCCGAATTGCGTCCGGCTTCGATAGAGCCATTATTGATGAAGGGCGTCAGATATAGGGCATCTCCAACGTCTTCGGTGCTGCTGAGGGACGCGGTACGATACTTTTGCAGATGCTGGTACTGGGGATACGGGTTGACGAATAAGCGAGCACTGGCAGTTCCGATCAGCAGTACGATCGCTGCAAACAGCCCGCATAAATGCGCTTGCATTTTGGTGTTGCTGCTGTTCGATGTTAATCACTGTACACAGTATAATCAATGAGAGCGCACAGGGATAATTGAATTACTCAAACGTATGATTCTGGAAGACCGAATTGGGAACGCGTTCGCACGAATCGAAGAATAAAAGGAAACTGATGAAGCGCAGTTCGGTTTCGAACGTTGAAAGCAGGCAGACAGCAGAACGCATAGGTAGATCCCTATTTTAAGCATATACATATGCACATATATTTTAACGGTTTCTGTAAACGGTAAGTTAGGCTGAGATTTTTGAGAAAAATATTAGTTTCTATTGAAGTTAACAGGTACCAAGTCCTCACCCTAAAATTCCTGACTTTCCTGAGGCATTGGTCAGTAAAGGGTGTTTCATTCTGGAAAAAGATTGATATTTTTGATAGGCCACCCCCTAGTTCAGTTCATTAAACAAAAACAAACATCTGTGCAAAGAATCAGCTAAATTGGTCAACTTTAAGAGGTGGCGCCAACGATTTCAATTTTGTTCGGGATTTTCGTCAAATTAGTATGGAAGAAAATGATGACCCACTAAAATCATTCTAACTTTTTTCCTAATGTACCGATTTGCATGAAATTTAAAATATGTTACACTTAAAACTATAATAAACAACTTTGTTGAAGACTGCAAGTCGATTTGATGCTTTAGAAAACAGAAATTGGCTTTCGGAACTCAGATTGCAGATAAACCTTGATTTGAGCAGAAAAGCAGGTATGCTGATAGGGCATATTTCATAGTATGCTTTGCAAGATTTTTTTTTACCTCAATGTTTATAAACATATTGTGCTGGCATCTCTGGATACAATAATGTCATGGAGTTTAGAAGTGATACGGAGAAGTGGTTGATCGGTCAGCTCATTACCAGGTTCACCGGTGGAAAACTTCCGAGTAACTGAGAAGTACTACAGCTCTTCTTTTTTCATCGCGCACAATCTCGCTACGCAGAGAGGATTTCAAGGAGTCAAGCGAAGCCAGAAATAAGTATGTATCTGAAATCGCTCCACAACTTGAGATCAAGTAAAGGGAAGAAAGCGTGGACCTTCCGTACCAAACGCTTCCAGTTACAATTGATTAGCCCTTCGAAACCTGAGAAATCAGCGCCAAAAGCCACTGCCCACAAATGGTCACTCCGCCCACCCCAAATGCTAACCTAGATTTAATGCCAATGTTATAGCAACAATCAATACGAAACTAACGATTTTAAATTGGCTCACCACTTTAGTAGCCTATTGGTCCCAAGCAAACGATTAACGTACCCTATTCTAGTTGAAATTCTATTACTACACTATGTTTGTTTTGATTCGCTATGAAAGTTTGACAGATAACATCAGGGGTGTGTGGATTCATGCAGAACATGCAGGGGTGAGTGAAATAGCTTGGGACTGCTTGGGACCGTTGTTCTGGTACTGAGTGAGCCAAAAATAATAATGATTTTCTTCGGGACCTAGTGGTCTTAGAGTTACCTCTATGGTTATAGGGTTATTGACTACACAGAAAAAAAAGTTGTTGAATATTACATCCAAACTGCTGCAACCAGGTCAATCCATCGGTTGTGTAATATAACGTTTTACGATGTACATCGATTATGCGAACAAAATTACATCCATTGATGTAATATTGTATCTGATTTTTGCTATTACATAATTATTTCATACATCAGCTTGAATTACAATGATCGATATTACATTTTTGACGTAGGACTACGTCTTTGATTTCTATATGGGGGTACACTTTGTGAAAACCGAAAATGGAACATGTAACAAATTAAGAAAGATTTTGAACGTTAATAACTCAGCTGCCCCTGGTCCAATTTCAATAATTTTATCACCAATCGATCAGAAATATGGCTACGCATATGCTACACAATGCTTCCGCATGTTGATTTTCTACAAGAAACTATTAAAAAACTGGTAAATGTATAGCATTGTCCAAAAGCTTCGAATTAACTAACAAATCCACCAATTACCTACATGCATATGCTGCTTCCCCAGCACAGTCGTCAGAGAGTAGTAAGTAGACGAAACAAGTCGAAGTGGCATTCGCCTCCGATCCTCGGGCGCGTGCGAATAGGGAGGATGGAATTGCGTAATATTTTGCACACTCATCGCCATACTCAGAACCACACGCTCCCAACAACCACACCACTGTGTGGTGGTGTTCGGTCGTCGAAATTAGTAGCAGCAGTAGCAGTGCTTTCGGCGTGTGGTGTTGAAAATTGTTCTCCAGTAACAACGAAAGGCTGCCTGCAAGCAGCGAGCTGCAGAGCCCACATAGGCAACCATCAAAGGAGGAAGAAGCTGCACCTGAAAGTGCTAAGGATCGGAATCAGTAGCTCTTCGTGAGTCGCTGCGGGTCGGTCATCTATGCCAAGCGTGTCACCCTCGCTCCAAACGACATACAGCTCGACAGCCTCATTCGTGTTGAACACCCAGCTCAGAATTACTCAACCATCACTACAAAACGGTCCTTTTCAGGGCCACCAAAAATGTGTTAAAGAGTATTATTTGGACATTGGTCAAGGTCATCAGTTCCCGCAAGCAGCTAGTTATCAAGGCGCAACCTGTCTATAGAAGGTGTGGAATTGTAGGCCTGAATATATTGGTGCAATTAGTTTTTCCTCGGCTTTCATTCCGCACGATTCGTTTCTTTCGTTTAATCAATCACCCTTGTATTGACGTCGAAAAGATTGTTTCAATCGGCGCTTACATATGAAATTTAATGTGAATTATAGAATTTTTTGAGTGTTATCAAAATTTATGAATGGTTTACCACTAAATGTTGAGATAATTTATTGATTATTGAATTATCACACTATATACCATGAAAAAGCAGCCTGTTTGTGAGTTTTTGCCTGTTTTCAAGTAAGGAGTTATCATAAAAAAACAAATCGCCAGCTGGTATTTCTCGGCGACTTTACAAATAAATAAAATCAAACAAAATCATCATGCAGAACTAGCTAGGATTTGTTTTACTTCATATTTCACAAAATTGCTTTCGAGTGTTAAGACATCGTCTCCCGCAAAGTTTACATTTTTCCCTCTACCAACACATCCATCAGGGCTAGATAGATCTCCACAGGATCTATAGAATCCACGCAATTTCAAAAAACCAAAATGCACAGCTTTACGAAAAGAGGTCAGGTTTCGACTAATAGCAGATTGATTTTAATTCTAAACAAGCCAAACGATTGGAAATTTATCTACCAATCTGCTAAAATGAACACTTAGTTAATTTTCAATAGGTCACTATTGAAAAAATACCAAATGTCCAACTGTTGCAATAGTGATCAAAATTATCACCGAATGTCTGAAAACAGCGCATTCCCTAACACAGACTTAAAAATCGAATTAGATGCGGTCCCACTGAACGGTGCTCATTCAATCACCGTAAGTGGTGGTGTCCAGTCCAGCAGCAGCAGCAGCAGGAGTGCTTTCAACAACAACAACAACGAAAGGCTGCCTGCAAGCAGCGAGCTGCAGAGCTCATATGAGCAACCATAGAGAAGGAGGAAGAAGTCCCACCGCTAGGATAGGATCGGAATCAGTAGCTCGTCGTGCTCAGCTCAGCATTACTCAACCATCACTACAAAACGGTCCTTTTCAGGACCACCATAAATTTGTTAAGAGTATTATTTGGACATTTGTCAAGGTCATCAGTTCCCGCAAGCAAGGCTCAACCTGGTCTCTATAGAAGGTGTGGAATTGTAGGCACAAATGTATTGGTAAGATAAATCATCGTCCGACCTATTTCCAGAACACGCTGGTAGGAAGTGTTAAAAATCCATATAGAATTTAAGAGAAGTGGAAATAACTCGCTTCGGGTGTTTATTCAGTCCCCAGAAAGCCAATAAAATCAAATTTGTGAGAAAATTATCTCTCACGAGTTCAATCTCTCGAAGTCCCTTTTTTACATATTCTGCACAAACGATACTTTCCACCCGTCCCATTCATCTTATTCGGAAGGAAATCCTGTGAGGGTGACACTTTAATACCAAAATGCACAAAAATTAAAAATTCATAAATAACAAAAAAATCAAAATACACCTGTCGGGTAGATGAATCGAAAATATTCAAGTTGACAGTCCCTTGGATTCTCTTCATCAACTTTCTCTTTGAAATAAATACTACAAATATGATACGCTTACAAATAAAAAAAACGGAAAGAGTTAAGATAATTGAGATCAATTCAAAGAACTAAATGTTCACATTTGTTCCGTCCAATAGCGGTCCTACGTCAAGCTTCCGTTCGTGCTCCTAGGCACAGACCCTTCTACTTTTTTATGCTGTGTATGAGCTCCTTGAAATCCACCTTGACGTATATTTCTAGATAGAGCTGGAATAAGGGCCTAACAGCTTTTGTAAACAATGACTTCTCTTGATGATTTCTAGAAATTCAAGGCTCACCCACGCAAACCAACATCCTCATCGGGTAGGAAGGACTTCCCCTACCCGATAAGGATGTTGGTTTGCGTGGGTGAGCCTTGAATTTCTAGAAATCTTGAAGAGAAGTCATTGTTTACAAAAGCTGCTAGGCCCTAATTCCAGCTCTATCTAGATTTCATCCTTCAATCAATCTGCGTGGGAATAATTTGGATTTCGCTTAGGCACGAACAAAATTTCGATACGCTGCTCCTCTTGCTTCGACGCCATTTTGACAAATGAATGAAAAAAAAACAAAAACAAAATAGAGAGAACATTCCGTACGTACAGACCTACAAAATGAGGGATGCACGATTAAAAAAAATCGCCAAATTTGAGTCGACCAACTTTTAACCGTTCCACCCTTTAGTATAATGAAATAATGTGAGCATCTCGAAAATGAGATTACCTTTGGCTTTGAATCTCAAAATTATAGAGGGAAAAAAACGGATGAATTTCACAAAGAGGCTGAGATATTCTAGCGGAATACGGAAATTCAGTAATTACCATATTGGTAGGTCTTAAAATATTACAAGAAACTTTAAAGGGAGTTCAGTTATATTAAATCTGCGTGCAACATGATTTGTCAGCATTTTAGTAAATTCTAAACTACAGTTATGCATATGTTCATAATTTCGATCATCACCGATTTTCCATAGAATTTTATTTGTTGTATGGAAAATCCGTTTCGAATGAAATAGGGACCAGGGTAAAACGCACATTAATGATCTGGTCCACCAGAATCACGACCGAAGGAATTTCAAAATTTGTAATTTAAATTCTGACTGTTGCTCGCCGTCTACATTTTGCTGATTATGCTGTAGTTGTAGTTCAAGCCACTGTTTGAGCGTTTGTGTGTCCAGCTGTTCGCTGTGATTATAGCATATAAGTAGATTGACTTGCTGCTGTTATCAAATGAATCAGTTTCTTTTATGGAAAATGCTGATTCTCGGGAGTGTTATGATGTTTAACAAACAGGGTTAAAAATGTGGGTAAGGTACTTACCGTTGCGATTGGTCGACGATCAACCATCAGCAGGGTACGAATCTTTTGTTTCGAAACAAAGACCCCAATGCCGGATCGAGCTTTCGGATGTCCTAGAAAAATGGAGATAAGAATGCGAAGCGGCAGTTTAATTTTTCCAATATACTTTTTTTATTTGTAATTAAATAGCCATCTCTGTGTGTATGTATGTTGCTGTGAATTGCAGTTTTACTGAACTGCACAACTCACACCTTACAATGTGTGTTAGTAATTTGTGTATAGACTGCGTTGAAAGAGAAGTTGAACTTGTGTCAGCTTATAGTTTAGGTTAAAAGGGATTTTTTACTCAACATGTAGGTGTAGGTATTTTATGTACGTATGAGTCCCTGTCTGCATTAGATTCTGGGAAAGTGCTGCTAGTTGATTGCGAGCATCATCGGAGGTTTCAATTATTCTTCACATTACTGAGAGTTCAATTCAGCCGTTGCTTGACTGTTTGTACGGTCCTGCTGTGTGTGCTTATTTACACCAACATTCGACAACAAATAAACATGCTTATCAGTTGCCTTTTGCTGTTCCTGTACGGTTGGTTTGCACTTTTTTCCTTTTTCCGAAGTTGTGAATAGAACAGCTGTGTAAAGTTTTGAAATCCATCTGTAATCAATTGCAGTTGTACAACATACTCTCAAGAGTTTAAACTAGTTTCTTAACAAGAGAATACTAATTACTAGAATTGCATGACATGTTGGACATTATTTTCAATTTTTAGTTGCTACAAAAACTTTCGAACTAATAAGACGCGATACATGATTGAAACTAATAGATTTAAAAAATATCTCTATATGAACAGTAACAGATTGCGAACTTTCCTCACGTTCCTAAAATCTAAAATAGAATTATATTACCTATATAGTACTTATTTGCTAGCACACAGACATGCTGGAGGTTTAGAAAGCTATCTCCAAACGCAAGTACTTCTACTACTGCCCCCACAAACAGCCACATTCAAAGATGAGGTTCTAAAAGTTTTTACACTTAATCTTGCTTACAATCTAATCACTCTAGAGTTTCACTTTGTTTTGTATTGATGTGTATATGCTGTTTGTGGTCGCCTAAGTCTAAATGAAAATTTAATCACACGATAATAGTATACAATTCGTACCGACTATGAAATGATGCATAAGTTAAATGAGTGTAAATAAATGTCATCAATGTATAGTTCTATAATTACAATCGGTCCGGCTGGCGTCGGTGAGGGCGTCGGTCCGCAGCCGCCTAGCTGTTGCCAGTGCCGGCGGCCAGTTTGGCCTGTTTTTTATTCTCCCGCTCGCGCCTTCGAAGCTTCTTCCGTCGGCGATCGATGCTCGCCAATTCGGCTTTGATCGCGTTGTACGTTTTGCGCAGCTCCTGGATCTTCTTCTTAAGAATGGCTATCCGCTGGCCGCTGTTGAGCGCGGGATCTGTCGAGTAGAAATGGAATTAGAATTATAACCACCGAAAACATAGGTACATAAGGACACTTACCCAAATTAACGAGGAAATTGTACTGGCAAGGTCGACCGGATTTGCCGCCGGGTGATGCTGAGCTGGAACCTCCGGCACAAGACGATATATTACCTGAGCCGCTAACCCGGTGGAATGCCACCGAATCGGAGTTGTCCTCACTGTCGGTAGCTGCTGCTAGTGGTAACGGAGTCAACGGTGGTGGTGATGCGGTTACCGAGGAATCAGACGAAGAGGAATCATCCAAATCGTCGACGTTATCGCGTTCGTTGGTGGAACCGGCACGAGAAACCATGTAGATCGATTTGAACCGACCGGAGGTGGCATAATGCGAACGAAGATACATGACGTTAGTATATTTTGATGATATATGACACGGTTGTCTAGCGAGATGCGTTTCGTGGAATACTGGTTAACTTTATGGTGAGTTGCAGTTGTTTTATAAGAGTTCAAAGTTGAATAGGTACAGATGGCCGAAAAGGGTAATCCCCTTTAGGTACTGACATCAGGTACGGAACGGGACGATCAAAATGCGATGAACTTAAATTTTTGAAAACAGCTGTGTGGGTATTTATCGGTTATTAGGTAAATTGTCTAAGAAGATAGAGCTATTTTAGAAAAATTCCTTTCTTACAATACAATACAATGAACCAGACTTTTATAATTTTGCTTATGTGTTGTAAGACGCTAATTTTACTAAAACCGTCCACTACGAAAAAAGTTGAAAAACGAACACTAAAATTACTCGAACTTCATACCGACTCTGCCAATACAGTCCAAACTATACAAATAAATCAGTAAATAGTTGTTGAACCACCAGCCAAGATTTAAAAAATCTATCAATTTTAAATGTTTAAAAACATTGCCCACAGATGCTAGATTTCATCCCAGAACAAAAACAGATCCAGATAGTGAAGCAATTTATTCATACTGATTTGTCGATTCTTTCATTTCGCTGTTCTTATTTTATTCTTGAATGAATCTTACAGAAGATTTAAACCATTTTTCTTTTCCAGTTTTTGTCAATGCCTGAAAGCTTCAGAGAAAAATTAGCATTTGGCGACAGATTTTTATTTTTTTGCTTTATTAGAGAGATTTTCAGCCTTGGGCTGGTTCATCTCTTAAAAACGAGGGGTGGGGACTTCGGACGGGAGTCCCCTAATTGCAGAGCTAATTAGGTGAGGTTCCAGAAGAGAACCCCGAGGATACGGAGTTAGGAGATGGGTGGGAGCTCCAGAAGGGAGTCTCCATAATAACAGAGTTTTAATATTTCAGAGTTGGGAATTTTCCTTTAATGCTACCGATGTTACTGTCCTTTTGAATAATCGTGGTCAAGTGGTCAAGTTCCGTGTCCTGTTCCTTTGTAGTCGCTGTGTTTGATTTTAGTGCCGTCATTCGTCCATTTCCGTATCCTTGTACGTGCTTTGCTTGGTTCAATATCTTCGTTCATGCGTGTCCGAGTCAGTATTTGTTGCCGAGGTATAGTTTTGAGTCCGAATCATTGTCCGTTGTCGTTGCTTGGGTGTTTAAATTTGGTTAATCAGACCTGCTTCCTGAAGGAAGCAGAATAGTGCACCGATGCTGGATGGGTCATCCCTCAGGGTATCCCTGATGCTACCTGAGATCCCGTAAAGGGAACGGGGTCCGTGGTACGGGGGGCTGCTAAAACACTTGCAGAGTCGGAGAATATGACGATCGGTTTGATCGAGGGTAGGGTTACAGCTACGAGAAAGGCAGCTGCTTCAGCAGTGAAAACGCTGCATGGGTCTGGTAGTCGGTAAAAGGTGCACAGCTCCGGATCGATAATTCCAATACCAACTCTAAAGGGTGTCCACGATGAAATTGCCACACACAAAATTGATTCGCAAAATTCGAGTTTTCATCCGATTGCCATCAAATTTTCAGGGATTGAGAAATAACTATTAAACTTCATTTTACCATTTTACTCGTATTTTATTTACAGTCCATACGCAAATGCCCGCACCTTGGCCTTAAGACCTTAAGATTCTGCACAACCTGTGAATCAACCGTTTTTTGCATGTAAACCCACACTTTCTTCAGTTCCTCGACTGTCTTCACTACCTTAGGTCGTTTAAGAAGGTGCTGCTTCATAATCGCCCAGTACTTCTCGATGGGGCGGAGCTCCGGAGTGTTGGGAGGGTTGAACATTTTCGGCACGAAATTGACCTTATTGTCCGCATACCACTTCAGCACGTCCTTGGAGTAGTGGCATGAGGCCAAATCCGGCCAGAAGATTATTGGGACGTTGTGGGCCTTCAGGAGAGGAAGCAGCCGCTTCTGGAGGCACTCTTTTATGTACACCTGTCCGTTCATCGTGTCCTGGGTCACGAAAGGTGCACTCCGCTTCCCGCACGTGCAGATGGCTTGCCGAACCAGGAATTTCTTCGCAAATTTGGACATCTTCTGAGTGCGGACATGCTCCGGAACGCTGAACTTATCCTTGGCCGTGAAAAACAGGTTGCCGGGGATCTGTTTGAAGTCGTCCTTCACATATGTTTCGTCGTCCATGATGCAGCATTCAACTTTCGTCAGCATGTTGAGGTACAACTTCCTGGCACGGGTTTTGGCGGACTTGTTCTGCTTCTCGTCGCGATTAGGGGCCTTTTGTACCTTGAACGTTCGAAGCCCAGCCTTAGTTTTGGCCTTCTGGACAAAACTTCGGCTTAGGTGCAGCTTCTTAGCCACATCCCTAACGGAGGCGTTCGGATTTCGCGGTTGTGATTTTTGGTGTTGTACGGAATACTTTTTCCTTCACTTTCTGGGCTTCCGATCGGTGGTCAACCGTTCCTCGAACCGCTTAATCACTCGCGACACCGTGGAATTCGCGATTCCCAATGTTTTAGCGATGGAACGATGCGAGAGATCCTTGTTCTCGTGATGAATGCGCAAGATTTTATCACGCACAAGCTGTTCTTTCGACTCCATTTCCGCGAGTTTTGATCACAGGACTTTAAAACTTGCAGGATGTAAATAATGCACTATGAACTAAATCCACCCAAATTTTCATTAAATTCTACCCAACGGTTAAAAAGTTAGAGCAATTTCATCGTGGACACCCTTTACCGCCACTTCGGGATCCGTCGGCGTATCGTACTTGATGTTTGTTGTATTTGGTTCGATGTAATTCGGCTATTGTTCTCACTAGCGCAGGGGAGTTTGTTCCCGCCCGGAAACTGTTCTTTATCGCCGGATCGATGGACAGACCGGGTGAGTTCCAACCTCTGGCTCCACACCAGTGGACCCTGGCTACAGGGGGGAGCTCCAGGTTAGCGGTATTATTCAGGAGATCGTTCGCCTCCATGAGGAGGGACACTACGTCACTTGTCCCTGTAATCTTTTCTGCAAAGCCAATCGCTTTCTTGCAAACAGATGCAGTCATGCAGCAGCCAGGCATGTCAGTTCTAAACCGTAGGTCAGTCTGGAATCAACTACCGCTTTTGCTACACGCATACGAATAGTACGGTTGTTCATTAAGTGTCTTTTGGCCAGTGTTCGGAGTAAATCAATCCTCGTTTGGCAGCTCTTTTTCACCTCATTAAAGTGGTCGACAAAGTTTAGATGCCTATCGAGTCGTAGGCCGTTGGCGTCAGATTATCAGTTTCAATAGTGTGCAAAATAATATTGGAATCCGAAAATCCAAAATGAATTGGAATCCGAATATACCAAGGTACCACACCTGGCGACGAGGATTAATCGGAAAATCATCGGAACACTGGTAAGAAACCAAATTAACAAGGAGAATCAAAAGGTTTTCCATTAAAACAGTATGTCCTCTTTCGATGTCTGACTCCTGAGCATGTCGCCTTCTGTCCTCATTTTCTTTTCCTTTTTTCTTGTTGATCTTGTCCAGGTCACGTTAATCTGATGCTGCTGGTGTGGTTTCGATGTCCTCGATTGACGGCAACTTGGATCTGATAGTACGCCCGTAGCACAGTTCTGTTGGGAGTTTTCCCGGTTGTTGAATGAGGAGTTAGTCGTTTAAATCCTTCTTCCAATCTCTTTTCAACGCGTTACTGATCTGTAGTAGCTTCAAAAGTGACCTATTTTGTCTCTTTACTAGTCCGTTTTCCTGAGGCCAATATGGTGTAGTATGATTTAACATGTACATCCCATGTATCTTGCAATATTCTCCGAATTCTTTCCCATCGAATTGTTTTGCATTATCAAATGATATTGTTCTAGGATAGCCCAATCGCGTAAATATTTTGACAAGTCTTTCAACTGTGTCACGGGAACTAATCCTTGACATAATTTCAACTTCTTTATAACTGCTAAAATAATCAACTAGCACAAGTAAATACTACCCAGAAGGTAAAGGTCCCATGGAGTCGATTGCAACGTCAATCCAAGGTTTTGTTGGCAATTCTCGTCTGCTCATCGGGAGCAGTTTACTTGACCTTCACAACACGAATCGTAATTTTTAGGCAGCTATACTGCCCTTTTCAGCATAGTTGTCCCATTCGTTAAAACAGCAAGCTGAGAAAAACGCTGTTGAAGATTTTTTTCTCCATGGGCTCTTATGGATGGGACAACATAGTTTTGTTATTTTTCGCGACATTTTCTGAACAAAGTAGGATTTTTTTCGTGTACATTGTAAAGTGATGGTACTTGACAATCGATTCCAATGTATAACTCATAATCGCCAAAAATGCTAATGGGACTGTTATGCCGCACAGGGCAGTATAGCGCAGCGACGTTATCTCAAATCAATCCCGTGGTTAACGAGAACAATCGTAGCTTAGACCTCTGTTTCGTAAGCGCTCAGGATACGGCTCCATACATCTCGTCGGCTCCTTCTCCACTCGTAAAGGAAGTTCCTCATCATCCTCCTTTGGTTATAACTGTTGAAGACAATCACATTCGGGATCTCGAAGACATCTCCACTACGGTGTCTTACAATTTCCGGAAAGCCGATCATCGTAGCATTGCCGCTGTGCTGTCAAGCATTGATTGGGAAAACATACTCGATTCTGATAACGTCGAAACCGCTGCTCAAACTTTTTCACATGTCTTGGTGTACCAAGGCCAACAAGTAAAACAAGCTGTTGTTAAGAGCTACTATTTATTACGTCTATCTTGGTTGGTGGTCGGATAAAGAATCAATCTCTAACTTATGACAGTCAGGCAAGGCCTACTACATCTCCCCTTTTAGAAAA